TTACTTATATTAAGGCAACCTTTATAAACGACTCGAATATACCGTTTAGGAAATGCTTTTCCTCATCTCATCCGCCTTTGCTGCATTAAATTCCCGATAAAATCTATTAAATATTTAACTTATCGCCGCTCTAAATCAATAGCCAAATATATGAGCCCCATTATGTACACCCTCAGACAACACATAGACAGCACACGCACACTACTGCACATGAAAACCCATTCAAGCGTTTCATAATGATATGAGAAAAACGAAAAAAGACATGCGAAAAATAGCAAACCCAACACATTGCCTCAACTCATTTTCGCATAAAAGGACGCCAATGTGTCGGGCCTGGCAAAAGGCCAAAAATGAACTAACACATTCGAAAGCACTCACACACACACACACACACACACACACACAGATGTTGGGCTAACCCATACAAGGACACTCGCTTAGCTCCTCTATATAAAGCCATTGCTACATGGCAAACAATAAATGTACGCTGCCAGGACAAGAGACCAACTAAATTATCAGTGATATTGGAGCACCAGGATAACGCTGTTTTATGTATCTGTGTGTGTGTGTGTTTCTGTGTGTATGTGCGAGGGAGGCGTTGCGGGAGGGAGGTCCTTCGGTAGGCGTGGCAAATAAACACATCAGGCAAAATGCTTTTTACTTAAATTAACAGAGCACCGAGCAGCTTCCCTCGCTTTTCGACACCCAACTAACGTTTAGTCGTTATCTTTCAGTGTGAGTAGAGCACTTGGGAAAACTATAAATGTTTCGGCGAAAATCGTCTTAAAAGGGCTATGTATGGCAATAATAGTATACCAAATTCCTGATGTATTAATTCTGCTAGCTTTTGGAGATTCAGTGTTCCACCATAAGCGGCTTAAGAATTTATATTTATTTATATATTTTATTGCAGTTCCTCTAATAATACATCATATATGCATAAAAATGTAACGTAAAAACCTATAAAAGGGGAACTGCATATTTTTGGAGACAGCTCACGAAGACGCCTAGGAAAAGTCAGGCAGAAAATCAATGAAAATAGATTTCTGTGAAAAAAACCCTTTTTGGCACTTGAAACCGAGACATGCTCGCATACGAGTGTGATTTGCCAACGAGGCACATCAATAATTGAGTTTGCACCATTTTTCTAATGGCATATAAGATTCCATGCTCGCTCATAGAATTACGTAATGGTATCATAATACCCAACTCGCTGGGGTGCAGGAACAAGCTGCTCATCAGCTACTCCTCCATCTCCTCAGTCCAATCCCCCATTTCCAGAGCTTTGGCAGCTCTTTCCTGATATGGCATACTTAAGCAATCGAGGCAAATGTTTTATCGTCACTTTGGCACACACACTCACACTACTAAAATAGGGATATACACAAGTGTGTGTGTGGTATGCATGTGTCTGTGTGCGGAATACAAAATGGCGCCAGTTTCCTTATGCCTTTGGGCTCTCTGCATCGCTTGGCTCGCCTCAATCGCAATCGTCAGAAAAGTCTATCAACGCAGGAGCCCGAAGGCCAAAGGGGCAGGGTGGCACGGAATCCGGTCTGAAAGGCGAAAAGACAAGCACAAACTGAAGTTAAGCGGCGATGTTGGTAGGAACATTTTTAATAACACGGCTTCAGTTGCGCAGGCAAACGTTTGGCATCGAGTATACGACAAGTTGTACCGTTGTAAATTTAATAAAGCCAGGGCTAAGTAGTTAGGCTGGAAATCAAGAAGCCAGCAATTATTTGGTTACGCAATTACCACAGCCAGGCAACCGGCAGGTTCAATAGGCTTAAATAATTTGCCCAAATCCCCTTGGCGCAAAAACAAACAAATAAATTCAATGCAAAAGAGGCGCAGAACTTTCCGGTCCCGGAAAACACAAACACAAATAGTGAAAGTTAACAGGGCATGATACTGGGGGCTTTTTGGGTAAAGTGGGCGTGGCTTGGCAACAGTGGAAACTCAAAGCGACAAATGCCCGTTTCCCGAACTGCCACACAATTTATTATTATTGTTTTATGCGAACAGCAAATGCGCGAAAATAGAGCTGGTTCAAGAATAGAGTAATAACTAAACATTTCCCATTTTTTTCTACAACAATGGCACTGTTTGCCCTTGTTTAACTGAAAGTCAAAGCATTAGTTGCTGTGCGCGATCTCAAAGCTAACAATATCGAAGTGGAGTTTCTGTGTAGTTTCTATTTCGCCCAACTTTCTGTGATTTTCAGTTGGAAAAATCAAGCATTTGCTGTTTTATTTGTTGCATTTTTGCGGCTGGCTTTGAATTGGAAATTAAAAGGGAAAGCAAAACAGTTGCAACTTGGCAAATATGCACAGTACACTGAACTATATTAAAAAAAATGAAAAAGCTAAAAGAATATATGGAATAAAAAGCAATATAATAAACCAGCGAGAAGAGGTATTTGTAGTATTTATTTTACACATATCCTGTATTTCAATAAGCAATTTCAACTTATTTATTGCCAGCATACAGCAGCACAATGAATTACTTCGCTCGGCGGAATGTATATTTCGCCAGCCGAGCTGCAACTCAGTCATACACGGTTTAAAGAATTTATATTTATGGCCATATGCAATCAACGGAACCATGTGTCTGCCAATTGTCCATCAAAACGAGAGTCCACAAATGCATTTCGCATTAAATCAATTCGCGTTGACTCGCCGGCCACAAAAAGTTGCACAAAGCTGCGTCCATCAATCAAACATAAGACACCAACAAAACCAGGACGAAATGACAAAACGTAAGCCGCGGCCGCACAGATATCCACTCGAACTTGTATCCATGTGGCATGCGAACTGCACATGGGTTTATACGTTTAATTAAAATGCGGAACAGACGCAATATTCGTCAAAGTGATTGGCCCCAAAGCGGCTTAGTGAACTTAAGTAAATTAAATGTTATGGTTTTTCGGGCAGGCGGAGTGGCGGGCGGGGGGGAAACCTCAATGAAAATTGTCTTTAAAACGGATCTCGGCGACGACAATGCGAATCGCAATAAATACTCCACCAAGTGGTGGGTGTGTCTGGGCTCGGAGGGTTGGAGCACAGAGCTCTGGGAAATTTGCATATTTTAAATTACTAGTGGGGCCTCTACGCAGCGATTGCTTTTGGGGTTGACAATGGCGCTGCCACGACAACTCCAATTTATTTGTAATTTGTTCGAAATTTATAAGCGCCGCTCCCACACCTACTTACTTGCCCCAGAGAGTCTCTATTTCACACACGCACACCCTGCCACACATAATTGCACTCATAAAATGCCAAATACCCGGCTCCGCACGCTTCGATATTTATGCCGGCAAGTGATACCCATTGCCAGAGAGGGTGTTATGGAACACACAAATCACGCAACTTTTATCATTGCCTCGAAACAGGTTTGCTCCCTTGGAATTGGAATTTTCTGGCTATTATGCTTTGCTAGTATCGCAGTATCCACCAGTTGGCATGGTCAGGTCGATCACCTCCTGCGCAGGAAGTCCAATCCCACATGCAGACATATCTTAATGCTCGCAGACTTGGGGTAGCTGGGAAGCAAACAAACAAATTATGTGCTCATTTGAATACACATTCTAATGCGAATCACGTTGACAAAAATTCATTGAAGCGTGCAGGATACAGGATACGCACACAACCGCACCGGACTGGAAGGATACCTTGACTCTCGAACTCTGGTCTATCCAATCAGGCCTGCTGTCCGGGTCCTGGCGCAGATAAAGTTAGCGTGGGAGTGGCAAATGGTCCCCACCTCGGACGCTGACAAGGACATATTTATAAAGCGCTCATTTGGAGCAAAGCACATATGTACATGGCTGGAGTGGCATTCCAATATCCAGTTAATCTATCAGGACATGGTGCAATGTGTAGGAAATTAAATGTGCTAGCTGGAGTCTCAGACACTGACAAAAACGGGTGCTACATCCAAGATTGATATTGCGCTTCGACATTCGAGATTGCTTGCATGCAAGTAAAGATTAATCTGGACTACGTAGTATTGCGTGCAAAATTATCATATAAAGCATATTAACTGCTGCCTAGCTTCCGTTTCTGCCAGTGCCTTTGTATGCCAATGTCCTTGTTGTGCGCCATGTAAATGCAAACTAAATATGTACCAACGCCACAGCCAGGCACTAAGTCGATTGCTTCAAGGACTTTCTCGCGCTTAGCGCAGAAAGCCAGGCAGAATCGGAGAAAGGGGACCAGACAGCTGGAGAAAGGCGCAGAGTGGGAGTGGGCTGGATTCCTGGCGGCTTTGCCATTCACACCCAGTTGGATGTCTGCCTCCATCGCTCTATTCCGCATTGTCACTGCTAACAGCTCCTCCACATCTCGCTTTGGTGTCCCCTCGAGTGTAAATGAGTGGCTCCATTCTCAGCACCACCGCATCCCATGCCCAAAACACCACCCACCTGGCTGTGCTCGTACATGTGCGGGGTAGGCTTTTTAATAAGCAATTTATTTTTAGCTTAACAACGCTCATGTAATGAAAAACGCGCAGCCTCGCCGGCTTACAATATACTTGCAATGATTTCTCCGCCCAGCTCCGCCCACTTTTCCATCCTCTTTTCTGCGCTGAGCGTGTTTGCCAACGATAATTAATTTTTTTGGCCTACCCCAAGCGAGAAGCTTAGACCATGAGTTCGTACCGCATTAAAAAGAAATTAAAATGGAGCCATTCTCCTCCGCATTTTCCACCTCGCCAGCCGCAAGTACATCTAATGAGATAACTGGAGACAACTGGCGCGAATTGAGTGTATGGGGTAATAATGGACAGCAAAAGAACTGGGTTCCTTAAGGTAATATTTATAAATTAGGTCCCACATTCTAGTACAGTCTAGAATATTGTTATACAATTTCTAGCTGTCTCGAATCTACAAAACGTATTGATTGTAAAACATTACGTGAGCGCTTGCAGTAATTAATGCGTGTAAATGGTAATTATTCCTATTTAAAAATGAAATATTTTTAAGTCAGTGGATTCTCTTCGTGTTCGTCAGTCCGCAAAATGCTTTCTTCCCAACGAGTTCCATTTTTTTTCACCTTTATCCTGATCCTAGCTGGACTGGGTCGGTACACAAGTGGAAGTCGACTCCCAGATTGCGTTATTTATCCAACATGTATTCTCACAAAGGATCTGTGCTGCAGGTAGTGCATCTATAGAAATCAAAGACGGATGTGGAACAGAAACTGGAAAGCCAACTATATTTCAGCACTTGTCAAAAATTGCACCCCGTTTTTATAAATACAAAGATCCACAAATATGTGACCTTAACATGGTAACATTTCATGTCTTTTCATAAATCAACTTCGTTTTTATTGCGAATGCCGTTTGTCGGTGTTACTTTTACATGACCATTGCCAGCGATTTTTCTGGCCATTTGTATGTCGTTCACTTAATAAAGCCCGAAAACCGAGAAGAAAAAGTAGCAGATTCAACAAACAGGCAAAAACTCTTGGTTTTACTTTTAACCCGCAGGCGAATAAATATTGTTTTTAAAACCCAATGAAATATTGCATGCGTTTTGATGAATAGCCCATATGTACACATAGCATTTATAAATAAATAAATATAATCATAAATAAATAATGGGCCAGCGCATGACAGCTCGGTGGCAAAAACGCACAAAGAAAAATAAATATTACACCAAATTGAAAACTTACTTCAAAGCCATAGTGTCGCTTTCCATTTACATGTTTTATTTAATTTGACGTAAAAAGTGAAACAAGTAATACATATTTCCTATATTAGTGGTTTGTTTTTTGGGTCTTACATTCCCCTTGAATATTTATAGGCCAAACAAGTATTCAGCAATATTTAGCGTAGTACATGCACACTCAATCTTAAAGAATTCTCAAAAATATTATGTTAAAGCTGTCTGGAATTTTGTGGAACCCACCTTTTTATCGTTTTAATCATCCGCGGCTTAGTGCTCCCAAAAGCAACCTGAAAAAACAACGCAAAAGGGTTTCATATTAGAAATGAATAAAACTTTTCGTTCCATTTTGTTTTGTTGCTCCCGCTTTTTTTAATATAAAATGGCTTTGGGTGAAAAATTTGGAAAGTGAAACGGGCAAGGAGAATATGTAAATATGTGTTGGATGCTGGATGCTGGATGCTGGATGCTGGATGCTGGATGCTGGATGCCGGATGCCTTTGGAGCCTACGGAGCAGCATGCTCGGAATTTAAATTTGTAGCTAAGCCTCGAAAAATGCGAGCCGCTTCATTTTGCGAAAGCAACTGGACCCTTTTGTGGGTGTGTGCGATGTATCTTTGGTGACAAAGGACAATGCCAAACGGGCTGTGGGGGCGACAATAAAATTAAATATTCTATTTAATGGCGCCGTAGTATGCCAGACGCGTCGCGCAACTTTTCTTGATGCATTCCTGCAGGAGCGGGACCTTTGACCTTTGAGAGTTCATAACTACAACTTGAACTTCCTGCAGCGCTCTGAAAGTCTAATCCTTTGTTTGCTGCAGATAACAAACTCGTACTGCAATCCAATAAAAACAAAGCCGTAAACTATCATTTTAATTCCGTTTCCTCGCCGCTCGCATTGCATCCAGTTTATTCGAATTCTGATTGTCCGTTTATTAGCCCGAGGCCCCTTTTGAATAAGCAAAAGTAAAGCCACGTCCATGTCCTCGCCGGGGGCATGCAAATAAAACAGATTTTATTGGCGGTCCTTGGATCCTTTTTCTTTTTACCAATTTTCGTCCAGCACTTTGCCTTTTTCTGGCCAACAAGAGGCATGGAAGGGTTGTTGTTTCGCAATTTCGTGTGCCATATAAATTAGACAGATAATATAAATTAGATGGGATCGGGCGGCTTGTGTGATCAGATACCGAAAGCATATTTGGGGCTAGGCTGAGCCAAAATCGATGACACAAAATAATGCCTCAATTAAGCTGGCACCGAAAGTTGTTGAGCCAGCGATGGAAAACATAATGAAAAGCAAGCATAATATTTTCATCTCCTTAAGGTCGAGCCCCATTTCAAGCACTCCACACTCCACAATCATTTTCAATAGATATTAAATACTCGGCAGCATTTTTTGTTTGCCCATCCGTGCCCTCCCCTATAGAACCTTCCCCCGCAGACCACGAGGGGTAACCGCAGCAAACAGAGTCAACATTTTTATTCCACGCTCCTTGCGCCGAAAGACGTAATGAGTGGCGGATGTTGGGGGTCAAAGGTCGGGGACGTAGGCAGACGCGGCATTTGTTTGAGTAATATTTTCGTGTATATTTTTCAGCTTTTCTGAACATTGCTGATGGTTTTTTAGTACCCTATGAGAGGCTTTTGCGGGTATGTCTGTTTGGGGTTTCAACAAAATCACACTTTGTACCGCTGTCATACTAGTACGGTAAAAATAAAGCGCATTCTGCCTTGTTGTTTGTTATTTCTGTTTAAATAAAAGTCACCCTCAATGATAATAATTCTCAAGAGGTATAAAGTAGTCGATAAATTAGCTCCATTTAGCTCTATTTCTGTTTAAATAAAAGTTACCTTCAATGAACACTGTTTTTGTCAAATCTAAATTCTTCAAATAATTCCAAATAGGTATAAAGTAGTCGATAACTGAGCTCCATCATCCCTTGACGCCGGGCAAAAGTTTTAAAGGCGTCACAACCTTACAGAGCATTACAACTCACTTGTTTCGCTGGCTGGCGGGGGAGGTTTCGAGAAATGGGTCTTAGCCCGAGTTCGGGGGTTGCCTGGTTCCTGTTCGAGTTGGCCAGGGTTGCCAGGTCCTTGCACACCCACTCACCCCCACTGACGGCGCATAATTGCGCCGCGTCTGAAAATGAAAATATTTGAAGCTGCGAGCTTCTCAAGTGTAAAAAATTTAATTTCGAAATGTAGGTTTAACGAACGGAAATTGCTTTCGCTCTCCGCGGAAAAATGGAGTAAGCCCTTGCCGTTATTATTGTTGCCTGATTTTCCCTCAACTTTTCGCCTTCCTGTAGTTGTTGTTTTTGTTTTTGTTTTTGTTGTCGTTTTTCGGCTGCGGAAAAAGCAAAGTAAATGCAAAGCCAGAAGTAAAGTCGGGCGAGAGCAGAGATTCCCGGCCGAAAACGTATCTCATTTGTGTTTTCGTTTGCAATTTGTTTGGCTAACTTTCTGATTGAGCTCGTGGCTCATTGCGGCGCATAACAGGCGAACGGAATTGTTTAATGCTTTACATCTGGCCCCAACAGCAGCCCCGCGCCATCTCAACTTGGCCCCATTTCCCCGATGGCACACTGCCGGGTAATTGCAATTGATTTGTCGAGCACTTTGCACGCCAATTTGTTTCTGGTCACGGTCAGTTTGGCCGGGAAATGTGGTCAAGGCTGTGGGAGGCCTGCAAATCGAGAAGGTTTTAAGTGGGCAAAACTTGAAGGCTTTCTTTGATCTTGAGATGTGAAAAACCAAATTAGCACCTTGCCAAAATGCCAAAGAGAGCCACATTTTTAGAGAGGGGGTAACTATTTTTGGAGGCCAAGCAATCCACGCTTTTTTAAAACAAAATAAAAGGAAATGGAAAATATATTTTACATATTATTGTACAACGTATTTCTTAACCATGAGGAATGGTCCTCATGACCAAAGTGTTAGAACGAGTTGAGAATTATTAAAGTGCAAGTAGGTAAATTGCGAAATATTATATTGCTTGTTTTAAGCTTTAGATCGACCATTTAATTCGGGTAACTGGTTTTTAATTTCTACAAAATGCATCCCCTCCTAAGGGTGGTTCATGATTATCCTCGTACAATTCCCAATCAGTTTACGCATATAACGGTGGGTTTCTCCGGTTTCCGTGGAGGGTAACACTCCAATACATTTTTATAAGGCCCGGCGAATTTTGTTTGCTGGGCTTTAAAGCATACTTAAAACATTTTAAGAATTTATTTTACTTATATATTTTCCATTGAGGAACAACAAATATTTTATAATTAGTCGCAGAAGTATGTTAAAGTAAGCTTTATAAACAAGTTAAAAGGTTGAGGTTCTACCTTTCGTACAATTTAGCAATTTAATCCCTTCCATTTGAACTCTCAGCAAGCCACGCGAGGTCAAAGTGCATTTCTGCACAGTGTCATAAGGTGGAAGCCAGCTAACCTGGCTTTTACCAACAAGTTCCTACTGAAAAGGCTTACAGAAACCGGTGCCTGAAAGTGTGTAACAAAAAACAACTCTCATGGAAAATCCGCAAACACACTATGGCAAACTTTTTTAAAAACCCCTGCCCAAACTTTCGGCAAATATGTTGCCAAACCTTTTTTGGTCAGTGCTCCGAGTTCGATCAACTTCTAGGGCACTCTATAGGAAACATTAATAACATTATCCGCTCCCAACGCCCAAAACAAATGCAAAACAAACTAATCAAACTTTCTGCAGGATAACCGAAACGACACAAAATGCGCAAAACAAATTGCTTTATTTTCTAATTCAGCTAGAAAGCATTTTCCATACTTTGTTTCCGAGCAGAATCTACGAGCGAGTGGGGGAAAAATCGAAAATCAATTTCTGTTAATGTGCCTGGGCCAAGAGTTTTCTGCCAAGAGACCTTGCCCCCCATATAGCCAACTACCCAGCCGCCCATCGAAACAGCCACCCAACCCATGGAAGCCCAGCATGCGTTGGCCAGAGCATATTTTTGCATAAAGTTTATGCAAACATTTTTACTCGAAACCCGCATAAATTACGGATGCCGTCTCGGTGCCCTAATAAACCCTATCTGGTGGATGTCTGGGGCTCAGTAAGTGGCCCGCCTGCTCCGGCTCATGCTTCCAATGGTTTCAATGGTTTCAATGGTTCCACTGGTTCTGGTCCTGCTTATTTTGCATGTCATTTGCGTCTGAGCACTCTGCGGCCCAGATTTTGGCCCAGATCTGGAGGAGCTCTGCGGATGCAGAATGGACCCAACCGGCTCTGTGCGCCTCCAATCGCTGTGCGGCATATAAATCTTCAATATTTATAGCAGAAAACCTACCAAAAATATATATTTTAACTTGGTTTAAAAAGGGTAGAGAGCATGCCGAGATCAAAGCTGCCCCTGCTTTTACTTTTCTCCAGTATTCTATCGGCATAGAAAACAGCACACACTTTGTAGACTCAATTAAATAATTATTTCGGAATTTTTACTTTTACACCGTTCTTGCAACGAAAATAAAACACTCTGCTCACATAAATTACGAACGACTTCGTGTCCTAAATGCACAGATAAGCATTTGCCCGCAAAAGTATGTCTCTTTACCATTATTTTTCGACTTTTATCTTAAATATATTGCATTCATCAGCGAACCACGAAATGCCGCCTGTTTCAAAACGGAGTCTACCGAAAAGGTCCAATGCAGATCAACACATTCGAGCCCAAATCAAAAAGACGAGTACGCTGTCGAAAATAATAATTCAAGGCACTGAACAGTTGTTGGACTCCAAGAATTACCCAAATATTCAATTTATTGAAAAGCCCAGAAAAATGCGGTATTCAAATTCGTCGATTTCCAGTCTGGGGCGCCATGCCACACAGCAAATCGATAATGTTGCAACTAATAGCAAACCACAAGGAATGTTTGGTGCAAACGAACAAAAACGGACATCAAAAGATGTGATTTCCGAAATTAGCAACATGTCTACTAGTTCAGTGTCAGTAAGGAATAAGCCGTTTGAGAACTTTCTTCAGGATTTCTGTTTGGCTCATGGTTCCATACCACGGGAAAGTGTTCAGCAGGCCATCGCGAAGTGGGAGGAAATGACATCCAAGCAAAAAGAGGAATTTAGTCCTGAAAACTATGTTCTGAAATTATGTAATCAAGTGCGCAATCGTGATGAAATTTTAAATGCAGTTGGTTTGAATCCGGCTTATCAAACTACAAGAAAATTTCAATTTGGAAATAGTAAAGCCAGTAAGGTCAAGAGATCGTCCCCAAGGCTACGAAAGTCAACTAAGCGCTTAGCTTCAAAGCCACGAGGTGTGGTGAGTCCCAGAAAGTCGTTGAAAAATGCAGCCAAAAAGCAGGTGCCTCCAATGGTACCGGTGCGTCTAAGTAACAGCGCTTCGGCCTACAAAAACTTTCTGCGCAAAATCCGTCAAGCAAATCCTGGTCTGATGTCCGTAGAAAAGTCCTCCTTATGGCGCAAAATGACTCCCGCCGAAAAGGATCTCTATCGCGTAGTCAACAAACCAAACCAAGATGAAACCAAGGACCGGAAAGTGTCCAGAGTTCAGGCTTCCAAGCGCGTGAGGAAGGGAAAAGCATCACGATCAACCCAGACTCCGGAAAACGCTTTAAATTATTCGGAAAGAAATTTTAATATTCAGCGAGATGGCCAACTACAAGTTTGGGCCCAAAGTAGCACTTCCCTAAGGGATACGCGTCGCTCCTGGCTCCGACTTGAATACATTTCAAAAGCCTTTAAAAAAGTCAAGAATATGTTTAATTAACTACTTGTTTTCAAAATTTTATACAAAACAAATTTAACGCTATAAAAAAACAGAACTGCGCGTAAAATCGCATAAAACACCAACAAAAAATGTTTCGGTCTACTTTGGTTGGGGTTCCCGAAATTCCTGACTAATATTTCTAAGTATCTATCAAGTCAGTCGGATGAGGTTGAATTTTAATTCGCCATGCGGAATAATTCAGCTGCTTGTGCGATTTGTTTACTACTTGTAGCTCTGCCACTGACGCCTCTGAATCCTCCACAATCATCGCCGATTTGTGGGCGGACTGGACACCGAGGGACTCGAAGGGCCTTTGTCTACACTCGACTTTCCTGCATTGGTTCCTGCTCCTGGGCTAACAAATTTCTCGCCATTGTTTACTCGGTTCAGAGTGCGTTCAGAGTCGTTCCAGCCCCTGAACTCTCATAGCTGCTTCCGTTTCCGGCTTTGTTTTCGTTCCGTTTCGTTCGAAGGGCCCGGGGCAAGCTTTCCACATTTGGTGTTTATTTTATTGTACATTTGCTGCCGGCAACTCCGCTGAGCCGTGAACTGTTCGGCGTGTCATCATTCGCCTTGGCTTCAGTTGCTGAACATCATCATCATCATTATCATCAGACCCGGAATCACCGCCATTATCATCACCGCCATATCCATGTATGAGAGGTAAATTTCCCCAGCTACCCTAGACACGAGGCAGTTGGGACGGGACGGGACGGAGTTGGACGGTGTTGATGTCTGTGCCCGTTGTTCTGGCTGCTGTTATTGTTGTCTTTCGGTTGCTTTTCAGCGTGCGCCCTTCGTGTTATTTACTTAACAATTTACTGAATAATTTACACACCTTCCCCACCCGGCGGCTGCTGAAAACTTTTGGGCTGGGCATATTGGGCCAGGTAGCCAAGATGCAAGAGCAGCACACAAGAACGCACCGAATTAATTTAGAATTTTCCATTTTATTGCCTGTATTCTTAAAAAAAAATATTTTTTTGGAATAGATTAATTGGAAATTTACATAACATAACTGGATATATGCATATGTTCTAAACGCACGGTTATATTTCATTAAACGTTTAAAGAAAAGTCGAAAGCTGGGTAGCATTTAGTCTAGCTGAAGCCGAGACATTTCCATAAGTTGCCTTTATTTTTTGTTACCGCTTCGCTTCCTGTTTGCTCCTTGCCGGCCACCCCCACCGCGCCTCCCTCCCCGTTTTCCTCTGATGGGCGTTGAATTATGAACCTGACTTTCCTTTTGGGGGTTTTGGTGGGGGGCTCTGTGGAAAGTAAAACTTTCACCGGTGCTGCGTGCCCGTGAGCCTGTGCGATTGTGTGGGTGTGTCAGTGTGTGTGTGGGCTGGTGTGGTGTGGTTGATAGTTGTCCACAGAATCACACACACAGCAAAGGTTACATTCGCTTGTGTTTACTTAGTGGAGTCTTTGACTGACATTTAATGCGGTTAGCATACGTGTGTGCGTGTTCGCTCCACTGTGTTGATAATGTGCATAATAAGCCCTAATTAATGTTAAATAATGAATTTTCTCATTTGCACGCCGTCAGCGCTGAACAGGCATTGCCTTCGGCATTTTCTCGATTCCATTTCATTTCAAGGCAAACACACGACTTCCAAATACTTGCAGTGTAACCCCCGATTTACCCAAAAAGGATCCAGTATCGAGCAGACGGGGATGTTAAAAATTGGTGTTTGGAGAGGTCCTTTGTTGTGGTTCTTGCACCTTTCCCCTTTCCGAAATTTGCCAAAGCCACAGCACAAACATTTGAAATATCAGCAAGTTTTACTTCAGGGCACTTTGTGTGTTTGCTAATTAAATGACCTTATCAAAGGGGCTTTTTCATGTTCGCAAGCCATTTGACAGCCGTAATTTACACGAGCTTAATTGAATGTTGAACAAATTAATGGCAAGAGGCCAAGAATGCTTCCAAAAAGGCAGTATCTGCAATCAAGTACTGAGTAAAGTTGTTGGAACTCTTTTTTTAAAAATCCAGGCTCCTGGTGAACTTCACTACCAATCCCCCAAAGAAGGCAATCCTCACAACGGCCAACTTCCCGTGAGAAACTCTTTTAAGTCGAGCACTTTTGTTTATTTACAAGCATTTAACCGAATTAAACAAGCAACTTTGCGCATAACAAATATCGAATTTGGCCCTTCGACCCCAAAATCGTAATGCGGGATAAGATGGGAAGGAGTTCGAGCATATAAAAAGTTCAAACTGTCAGAACTTTGACAGCAATATTGCTGAGTTTTATGTACAACAAGCGGAATAACTAAAACAGTGCAGAAATTAGAAACAACATACCGAAAATGTCCATAAAACTTTGCCCTCGTCGAATCCTGCAACTTTTTTCGCCTGATTCTTATTGCGGATGTTGCTTTTGTTGCTTAGCCGATGATGATGATGGTGGTGTTGTTGTCGCAGGAGAAAATCAATGTCGGCATATTTTATCCTTTTTTCATAGCCAGGCACGAAAATACATGAAACATATATATACAATATACATATATATACAAATAAAATACACCACTACACTGACACAGCAAGGGAGTAGAAATCCAAACGAGAAGCCAGAAAAACAGTTGCCAAACTCAGCTTTTTTTATATGTATATCGTAGTTGATTAGCCGCCTGATGCTGTGGATTTTTATTATTACTTTGTTTGATTTTTTGCCCAACTGGATTTTCCTTCTTCGGTTTTTACGGGCCTTGATTTGATTGCATTTTGTTTGTGGATCATATATTCTTTTTCTTGTTTGCGTTGGCACTTTCGCTGACAGCCCTTGAGGCAATTATTTGTTAGACCCGAAATCGCTTACAACGTTTCAATATTTTGTTTGACTTTTTAGTGAATACATGTTGCAGCGAGTGCTCCTCAAGTTTGTTGTTTGTTTAATTTTATCGCTGCCTCACTGTTATTTTTCTTTTGTCACTTTTCGAGCTGGGTGGCACGCGCTGAGTGGCATGTCAATCAAAAATCAATCAAAATGTTCGCGTTTTCGCGCTCGTTAGCATTTACACATGTTGTTGTCGCTGGTTTCTCAAATTGCGGCAAATGGATTTCAGGTTGTTTTCCGAATATCCCGTCTCGCGTTACCCGGCGCACTCGGAAATTCTGTTGGCGACACGTACTGCTGCCCCCCAACTCTTGCCTCCTGCCTCCTGCCACTTGCCACTTCCAACTTGCCACTGTACACAGACACACACACACGCGCACAGCAGCAGGGAAATCCAGGCTCCAAGGAGTTAACTGCGGGTTAGTGGAGTTAACTACGGATTAGTTGACCACCTGGTCAGGCTCCTTGGCTCCTAGCAGCTTCAATTCCGGCGGAGTGCTCCACGGGCGGGGCTACGGATCCGTCCGGCTCGGCGCTGAGCGGAAAGAACGGAGCGGAACGGACTCGAACGGATCGACTGCGGCGTGTCTGTCGCTCACGGCGTACGCTTTTCAACTGCTGCGCCCGCAACGCTCGACGGATTTCCAGGCAGGCGGACGCCTCCGCCAAGTGAAAAGCAGGCGGAGTTCGGCCTCCTCTCTCGGCAGCGTCCTCGTGCCTCGTTTTCACTCGGCAAACTGTTATACGCGCTCTCTCCCGAGAGAGAGAGAGATGTTGTGTAGAAGAGAACGCGCCGCGAGGGAAAGTTGCCCACCACTTTCACCGGTTTCTCTGCTGGGGAAAGAGCTACCTTATTTATATTTTCAATGTGATTTATACGCCTATAAAATGCCTAATCAACGGGACATATCAATTGCAGACTATTACCAATGATTTGCACCTACAATTAGTTGTATTAAATTTTAGAAATATATAAAACATAAAAATTGAAATATTAGTAATATACTGAAGAAACCTGGAGACAGTAATTATGAAAAGTTTAAAGGAAATAAATTAATATAATTTATTTACAATAAAACATTATATTTTAACACAGTACAATAAATTATTTAGGACACAATACTTGCTTATTTTAATTAAAATTGATTTAATTACCTTCTTTCGAACGGCCTACATTTTTTATTGTTATTTATTTATTATTATTTAGTGCTATTGTTTGTGATTTCTTTGCCCGCTTTCTTGCTGAACACAATCCAGTGCGATTTTATTTCTGGCTCTTCTCAGTATAAGAGTAGCCACACAAACTGTTCCCAGTTGATTTCCCCCTATTCGATGCTCTCCCAGTATCACAGTTGGTATAACAGGGCACTCGTTGGGGAGTCGGCGCCACTCTGGAAATACAAAGCCCACAGCCAGAGCCAGAGCCAGAAAAGCCAACCTCAACACTCGCAGCTGACTGACCGAGCGGGTGGAAAACTTCAACACGGACTCAGGCGTGAAAACTCCCAAGCTGAAGTCCTCAGCCGGCGAGATATGTGGCCGGAATCGAAGGCTTCAGTTGCCAGTGCATTTCCCAGCCGCCCACGCACAGCCCCGCCCAAATACCCGTGACACCGGGCGAAGCGGATCCCTGCGGAGGTGCCGAAAATCCATTTTGGCCAGAACCGAAGCCAAGGAGGAGTCGTGGAGAAGGAAGGAGGAGTGGGCGGTCGGCCAAGCCAGCAGCGGATAATATCGATTCGGTTCGATTGTTGTTGCCTGGCTGCTCGAATTGTATATTGCTTTATAAGCAGCTTCTGTCTTCGCCAAATATATATACATATATATGAGAGAAAAGAAAAAACAGAAGAAAATCAGCAGACCCTGCCCTGCGGTTGCTTATTTGGCTGCTTTAGTTTCGATGCCATCAAGCGAAGTCCTTTTCGCGATTTCAAAACTGGAATAAATAAAAATAAAACCAGAGATGGGAATTTTACGTTTTACGCTGTTTTTCTTGTTTGATGCCTCTCCTTCTATCGCAATGAGTAAATAACCAATGAAGCAGATAGAAATGTTTATTGTTATTCTTCGGGGGCTCCTCCTTGGTCATTCAAATCAATTCCGTAGGCAGCTTGTAGCTGAGTTTGTATCTCCGATTTCATCTGCATTTTTATTTAAATTTACATTGGCCGGGCATAAAGGACAAGATTGTCGTCTTGCCGAGTAAACGAGCCATTGCACATTATGAATGTTGGCTTACAATCCTGGTCCTCCTCCGCGCAAATGCTCCTTTGTCGGGAAGTACAATAATTAAGGCTGCGTTAAGTATACGCACCTTGGGCGCGGAGTGGTGCGGCTTGTTCGCCGTGTTCTCAGCTCCACTCGCGCATAGTTTGTGTCGCATTAAAACTATTTAAGTTTTTAATGCCCTAACAGCGATGATCTTGTGCCTGGCATATAAATTACTCAGCCGCCCCTTGGCCCGCCGTCTTTGCGTTAACGGCGCCTCAAAGGCCTCTGCCCTGCCGCCACCCACAACCACCCACAACCACCACCCATCAGCCAGCAGCCAGCTGAACGTCCTTGCCATCGAGCGTGGAAAGCGCGGAAGCAGCGAAGCTCCAAGATGTTGAGCACTTTGCCAAAGTTTTTACTTGGCTCGTTGGCAATTTTTACTTTGTTGCTTTATAGGGATTTATGTTTAATCGGCCAAAGGTTACTTCAACTCACACGCACACACACATTTGCTCTTCGGTCGACATGTTAAAAGCTCCTTTGTTTCACAGATACACCGAAGGACGAAAGGATAGGGGCAGTGAAATGCGGCACTTGCACTGTCATCGCCGGGAGTGGAAGTAATTTTGCCTTACTTGAATCGCCAATAAGCATTTACTTAAATCGAAGGATATTCTGTTGACTGGTTATTGGAACCCATTACTAGCTGCTTTGAAATATTAAAATTGAAGAACGTGTAGAAGTGTAAGAGAAAACCGCCACTAACCAATTTACTTATATTCATTTTAATTTAATTTTAATTTAGCAATTTATGCATTTTAATTTAAATTTGAGGGCATTTAATTATTAGCAATATGCTGCTCTCTATACTATACTCCTAAAATAAAAATCATCAATAGGTTTAAAAAGAGAGTTTCAAAAGGCTAAAAACAAATTTTTAATTTCCTGCGGGGTGTCTCTGTTTTTGTAAATCAACAATCTTAGACTTACAACTTTAAAAATTAATTAAATGTTCCAACGCTCTTGTTCTGGCAGCTTTTAACAATATTATTCCATTAAATACCCGGCAAAGAGCAAATAAATAATCCAACTGCGAACCGAATTGCATTCACCCCTCGCTGTTGGCGTTCATTAACCCGCTCTTAGCCGTTTATTTACTTGGATAAACTGTTACAATTGTCCCCAGCTCAGGTTCGGTCAATAAACGAACTTTCCTTGGCTAATTGAAGGAGTGGCAGCAGCTGCATGCAAAGCAATATCTTCCAGAGTTTGCACTTCAACAAATGGATTCGACCCTTCGAGCAGACTATTCCCAAATTTTTAAGCCATGTACTTGTGTTACCTGATACTTTTCTTCAGCTACAAAGTTCCATATATTTAGTAGCGTTGGAAGTTCATTTATAAGTTAGTCTGTGTTAACTTGTTTGCATTTAGTGGAAAAGCGACCAAATTGCACAAAAGTGGCTCCACCCAGCAACATTATTGCATTACATCTTAGAATGATAGCATTATACGAGGTGCCATAAGCAACCCGTTAATAAACGCCACAAAGTTTAAGCATGCAACTTTGAGCCAGTGCCAGGACTTTTCTACAGTACTCACTCGGCGAAGGACGAACATTGATTGGTGTGCGAGACGCAGTTCTTTGATTTGTGTCTAGACCGATGAGCGCGTGCCTCAATGTTGGTGGAAAATGGAGGACTGGAGGAGTGGGGGAATCAAGGAGGCAACTTGGCTTACGAAAATTCATAGCCCGAGCGCGAAAGTTTATTAGATGCTCTTTGCTCTCTGTCTTTGGCTTTGGCTTTGCCATTGCTTTTGCTTTTGTTGCCGTTGCCTTTGAAACGTCGCCAGAATTTTAATTTCCGCCTAGAGCGTGTCGCACGTGGCCGCACTGACAAGGAAGTTGACAAAGCCGACAGCTCCTTTGAGTTGCAGCCAAGTACCGCCGACCTTTGGGGGCGTGGTGGGCCATCAAGTTGGACGCCTGTCTGTAATTATGGCCGCCTCTAATTAGGACTCCAAATAGTTGACCTTAAAGCCAATGGACAAGTGTTGTCACTCCTTAAAATAGAGTGTGGCAAATTGAACTAAACAAAAAAAAAAAAAATTAACGGACATGGGAAATAGTTGGCGATTGTTTTCGACGCATTCGAGCGTTCGATGCACTCCAAATATTTGTTCAAATATTTGCCAACACGCTTCAGCTTTTCTGTTTCACTTCTGTTCGCCTTGTTAATGCTATTGTTGTACAACTTTTGTGCAAAATATTTTACGCCCCACAATTTCCTGGAAATCTACATTTTTCCACAGCACTTTTCTTTTTTGCATTTCGAAAGGGGGAACTACTCGAGCACATATACAGATGAAACAGGCGGAGTACCGAGACAGACACACATTTATGAGAATGGCTATTGGCATCGAGCCATGGCCCAAAGCCTCGTGATGCAGTTGGCTCGTTGGGTCGTTTTGTGCCTTTCCCAGTCGGTATTTTCAGCTTTTGTTTCGATTCCCAGGCACCAATGGGCCAATTTCTATTACCGAAACTTTGTATGTACCCTACTGGGACGTAAAAATGCTATCAATCGGTGGCCATATCAATTTCCCAGTTGAAGGGTTAGCACCTCCGTTCGGCAGGTGCTAAGGCTCCATTGGGATGTTGCATCACAGGGTTTCCACAAATCTGCTCATCCCTGCCGAATCCGTAAGCTCCATGATTTCACTCCAAAAAATAAAACTGTATGTGATGGTCTTATGAGGAAAGCAAAATGAGAAATGAAAATGGGAATAAAATGTTTCAAAAGTAGGTTTTAGTATGAGCATTTGTTAGATACTTAATATTTATATTTACTGATTTTTTGAACATTTTATATTATAATGGTTTTCTATGCTTAACATCTCAAGGACATCCCTTTTCGATTAGCGCATTAGAGCATCCCTTAGTCGTTCGCTTCGGCTTATCGAAGATTTGCTCAAATTAATACTTAAAATGCGCTGCGTTGTCAGGCCGGGATTTGTCTGGCTGCTCCGGCTGCCAAATGGGAAAAATGTTCGCTCCGGCGGTTCTGTTTTGGCACGGATTGCATAACAAATGCACGGGCCGCGGATGGTAATGGAAATGTCAATGCAGCCCCCCGTTTTTGGGCCAAGTTTCGAATGCGGGGGCAAGGTGGCGCTATAACTCAATTTAATGTGAATGTTCGGGCAATTAAAGAGGCAGCCGCACTGCAAAGGCAATTGCAATTTGCCTACTTTCGAGCCTCGTGCAGGTCATAAAGTGAATCATTTAGAAGGAGCCTCGAGATGAGCATGCATTTGGAACTTCAGCCAGACTTGAGCTAGTGCAGCAACTCGAAACGGAAGCTGAAGAGCGCAATTAGCAGTCCTCCAGCCGAAAGAATAAATGCCGGGCTAAATAGCTCAGTTAAATGCAGGGAGCT